TGTCTTCATACACATTTGGAAATGCACATAGGGGAAGCATATAAATAGGTCACACTTCCTGGAAATACTTGGAAAAACTCATGATACACAATTTGAAAAGTCAAGAAATATATATTTTGAAGAACTGAGAAAGAGCATTAGTGTATGTCTTATTTTGCATGCAGACTTTTGAAATTTGCTGATACGGTGATCATGGAAGATCTGCAATTTCCCTGCCAAACAGATTTGCACTAAAAAAAATTTCTAGGAGTAATTTTTGATATTGTTTATATGTATTTATTTTTCATGGAGCCTTCTTTAAAGATATTATTAGCTGCCAATATCCCCCATGGGTTTGTTTTTTAATGTATCTATGGAGTGCTACAGTATGCTGTTTCTGCTGGTGATATGTTGCTAAGAGATTTAATAATGGGTAAACAAACACAACATGTGGTAATCCATTTCAAATTAAAAGTTTATTAAACGCTAGCTTGATGACTTTCTGGCTATTTACAATTAAAGGAACAAACCTTAGAGAACTGGAGATCACGTGTTGAAAATCACAACTTCAACATTTCCCACAGAAAAATGTGTTTATGATCTGTGGCAAGCTGTCTCACATTGATATGCCCTATAAATACAGTATTATATCTGTTAAACCACCAAAAGCAGAGGGGGGGAAGGCTCTGTTAAAGTGACATTAAGGTTGAGACACAAACCAGAGAAAGCAAGAACAGTCTAAATGAAGACGAGTGCTCTGTAACTCACTCTACTGCAGTAGTCTAAATAGTGAGCAATCTTATATATCAATACCATATGTGGTGCTGCAAAATAGAGCAGGTTAGGAGATGGTGTTTTAACCTTCACTTCAAGTTTGTCTTAGTTTTAGAAGTTTAAGAGAGAACCTTCATATTATTTCCATTAACTAACTCCAGGCTATGTTATTCTTCTAAACCACAGCTCTCTGTTGGGCTTTGTATGGGTCTTCCTTGCTGCACAGGCTCTCTCCTCCAGAGTACAATGTATGGGAATGCAACATAATAACTCCCATTCTACCTCCTTTGTAGATCACAGATGTACATTATCAGATCTAGTGTGTCTCTAAGTCCAAACCATATCTTCTTTCCATTCTTTTGAAGTGGTATTCCATAAGAGGCTCATGGTAGAAGACAGCTTCTGCTTACACTACCTTCATCCTTTGCTTTTCTTAAGAAAATCTTCTGTTGTTCATCTGTTGCCCATTAAGGGATCAACAGTCTCTGTCAATGAATAAATGAGGATTTCTGTGTGGAATTCATTAGCTGTTGTGGGGAAGGTGGTAACAACTCTAATAGAAGCAGCTTAGGTAGGAAAATTTGATGCAACTAACAGAAATGTTGCCTTCAGAGACCTAGATCTAAGTAACATGGGCTTCTAAATGCATGAAAACTTCAAAAGTGTGAATCTTCATATAAAACATTAAATATACAAATTCATCAAGAAAACACTCTTTCTCACAGTGAAATCTACAGCAAGATCCCTTTTGAGTTTAGTGTCCATAGAAAAGGGGATTCACATGTGCAAAATGTCAGCTAAACTCAGACTTTTTTGGAAGTGGCAGCTCTTTCATCTTCAGAAAAGTAGCTAGACAGCACTTATGTATTAGTTCTCCAGCTCAAACACTTTTGGGTCAGACTTGGGCTGATTTGGGAAGTGTTACTCTGCACTTGTTGGGAACATTCTTCCAAATGCTTGCTCTTCTGTCTGTGCTGTTGTTCTGACTTGACATGCAAACACCTACTTGTGCCCATCTGAAATTGTGATCACATAAAACACATGGGTGGGAAACAGGTTTATCCTCTGTAGTGTTCAGAGCCAAAGAAAAACATTTTTCATTCCAGTTGACTTACTCACACCACTTTAATATTGGCCAATTTGAAGTCCTGAAGTTATGGTCAGCACTGTACCAGCATATACTGATGTGCAATCAAGACCTAAAAAGAGTGTTTACAAGGCAGAAGATTTGTCACATAGAAAGACTCTCACTACCTCGGCTGTCTTTGGACGAAACACCCACATGCAGATTTTTTATGTCTAAAATTTTCTTTCCGGAATGTCTGCTTGTGTCCGTCCCCCCACCCCCCCCCGCACCCCCCCCCCGTTCTACTATACTTTGGGATGTCAGAAACTCAGCTGTTTGAGAATGGTTTTAAAGATTATTTTTTCTCTTTTTTTTTTTTTTTTCCAATGGACAATTAGCCCATTTTCCCCCCGCACTTTATTTTTCCCTCCCCTTAAAAGGTTTGCTCTCTAACAGCAGTGCATGTGGCTCCTGCAGCCTATGCAACAACCAGAGGAAAAGTTAGAACCATGGAAATTTTTTTAGTTCCCTAACTATGAGCTTATAACAGAAATAAATATCATATAGAAAGATAATCTTCAGGTGTACAGTTTTTCTGCTTACTTACAATTTACAGCATTTTTCTGTCTGTCTTCATTCTGTTTGTCTGCATGCTTGTTAATAATAAAGTTGGTTTGTACCACTTGGCTTCAGCAGTCCTTGAAACTCGCCAGAGTTGTAAAGCTTTAAACAGTTACACAGGTCTTTAATTGTAAATTAGTTTTGACAGGACTGCTAAGACAAAGGCCTGGTCCATCCCGTCCTGATGCTAGCTGACAACCCCTTACTGCTCCTGGAGCAAGGAAACATGTGGAAGGAATTGTTCTTTTACATTTCACAGCTTGTCATTTCCTCTGCAGGGCAACCTCTGACCTCCCCAAAAGATCCTGACACCCATAAGGGAAGTATTCCCACTGTTGTAAAGGAAGTGGAAAAACAGTTTAATGCAGCAAAAGGAGGAGAAGTGTGTGTGTCAGAAGAAGCTGGGAGGAAAAGAGAAGAGCTTAAAATGCTTCCAGCAGGTTAGGACTTTTATTGCATTAATTTACTGAAAGTTTGCAAATAGATCTGCTTGGCATGTGTGTAAATACCCCCATTTGCCTTCCCCCTAGCCCTGTGATATCATGTCATCATTAATTCTCTGGGCAAAGGAAGAGATGGAAGAGTTTAAATCAATTGTGAGGGATCAAAAGCAGCTTAGGCAAAAAGGTACAGAAATGGTGGGCTCCCCTGTCTAAAAAGTGTTGGTAGGCCAAATGTGTTAGTAATTACAAGGTGTGTGTGCAGTGCACTGACAACATTAGATTACGACTGGTGTTTCCGTGACATTTTTACATCCTTCCATTTTATTTGGTCATTTATATCCATGGATCACAACATGTTGCTGTTAGATGCTTGGGAAGTACTTTTTCTTCCTGCAGCACTTTAATAGCAATATCCTTTGTTAATTGTGCAAAGCTAAATTGCGTAAAAGTGCCTGTCTGTATTTGTATCAGGTAACATTTGCTGCTCGAATGTGGGGTTTCTTTTGAAGGCGAAGCCTTGCAAGTTGCTACTGCGGAGTTTTTTCTTGGTTTTGTTCATTTGTTTATTTGTTTTCATTGGGGTTTTTTTGGGTGGATTTAGTTTGTTTGTTTGTTTGTTTGTTTGTTTGTTTGTTTGTTTGTTTGTTTGTTTTAAAATCCCAGGTAAAAAGTATTTGTCTGAGAATTGAGTAATATAACCCCTAGGTCCTGTCCTAAACTCAGATACCACCATGATGGCCAGAGGCAGACTTAATACGGGGCAGGGATGTTGATACCAAGGTACCAAGAATATAGACAACCACTGCCACTTTATGACCTGGGTAGTGTATTGTGCTCTCAGTCCTACAATAGAAAAATGGCAGTGCAGGCACAGAAAGTGCCAATGCCCATGCTCCCTTTTGCTCTCACACCCATGCATGTCCCCCAGGTGCCAGCCAGCCCTCCTGGTCACAGCACAGATGTTTAGGATGAATAGGCAGATCGAGTAGCTGAGAGAGTGGAGAGGGCATCAGGAGCTGACCTGAGATCCGCACTCATCACTCTCTCAACCATCATGAACAATGCAAGGGTCAGCTTTCATTTTAGGAAAGGGCGATTCTCACTCCCTTGGCCAGTGTGTAGAGATGAAAACGCAAGTGAAAATAAATTATTCCTGTCTTTTGAAGAGAGAGAGCGACTCTCCTTCTATAACAGGAAGCTATAATGGTTAGACACTGAGCTGAGAAATATTAGGTAAGAGATAGCTACCTCTTATCTGTGTAAACAGCAGCTTGTAGTTGTCTTCAAGTCTGTGGGATCCCAGAGATGATGTTGTAGAATTTTGGATGCATGTCATTTTGAAGCCAATTGATGTGCCACTTTCCTTTTACAGTAGCCCATGAAACATCACTAAAAAATAATTTCTTTGGAGTTCTCCTTCTCTGTTGACTGCCCAAGAAGTTTAGGACTATGCATCTGCTATTATAGGTGTGTTTGCTGAATATTTCATGTTAGGTGGGCACAAATAGAGTTAGGAGCTAGTATGGCATTGCTAAGTTAGGATTCATAAGTGCTGAATATTGATGTTGACTATCACAAATGCATAAGAAGTAGAATACAGAGCTGGTGTCAGTTTTTGTTAAATAATGTTGGTGACAAAAGGTTAAGCACATTACAGAAAAAAGTAATAAAAACTTCCAGTGTTTCAAGGGTTCTCATTCATGTCCTAGTTAAGACCAGCACTTAACACGTATTTCTAGATGTTGGTCCTTCTAAGAATATAATCACAGCCCTAACTTAGAATTTTTTTTCAAATTCTACATTAGTAGAATCTGCTTTGAAATTTATTTAGTTCATTTGCCAAACTTTAGTTGTGCAAAGCAGCTTAGAATACTCACAATATTTAAAACATAAGTAACCTGCAAGAACCAAAGAGTTTTAAAATAATGTTTAATGGTGTTTGACATTTGCCTTTGGGTGCTTTTAATTTTTTTTCAAACTTCTTTTCCTTGCAACATTTGGATGTTTCCACCTTTAGAGTGTGTCTCAGAACCCAATTATTAGCTGTGCAGGTGAACAGCTATTCCTTGTCCCCTCTTCCCCCTACCCCCATCACCAGTGTTTATCTAGATCTAAAACTACCATATTGAATTTTTATTCAAATTACTTCTGTGGAGTTTGGCAGCGATCCAATGCCAAACACAGCATTTTAGAACCCATATTTTGAATTTAAGAGGGTCTCTTACAAATATCCTGAAACAAGGCAGTTGCAGAAGTGGACTGATTTTGAAAGTGTGCAAGTTTCGAGCTGGCTTCCCGCCAAGTCCCTGAAACTCAACAACAAGGACCTGCTTCCCAGAGAGGGAAGAGGAAAAAAAAAATGACTTAAGCAGCCAAAGCTATAGCAAAAATATATATATATTTTACATATGAGACAGATATATACAACGAGAATACTATAGACCACAACTCCAGAAATCCCGAACAGCTCCCCAAAAAGGGGAGAGGGGGAGGGAGAAGGGAAAAGGACAAAAAGGGGCAAAGACCAAAGAAGTCAACCAGCCAACTGAAGGTAAATTAGCAAAATCTCACCACTTCCCTTTGAACAAGCAGGATGGCTGGACACGGCCCAGCACTCTCCCCTCACACATGGCAGATAACAGCAGTCACTGTAGGTCTCAGCTCCAGATAAGCCAGACCGAGACAGGGACCCACTGTTCTCGAACCTCGCCGGAAAGGAAGAGAGAGCGAGGTCCCTCCTGCTGGCTTTATTTATACCCCAAGTTACGTAAAGGAATAGCATGGAATACTTCCGTGGTCACCTTCCTAGTTCCTTCCTGGTTACAAGCTGGTCTCCAGGAAGGCCTAGAGTGAAACCATCACAGAAAGGTACTGAATTATCACAACTTTTGTCAATGGAAGGTTGGATTCAAAAGGCATTATTTTGTATTGCCAGAGGATCTGACTCAGTATATCCTAAGAGATAATACTATACTTGATGGAGGATTTAAAAAAAAACAGATTCTGGTACTTGATAAATCTGTTACCTGTTAATTTAATGAAAAACTTGTTTCAAAAGGCACATCACTAAAGCACAGATTTTCTGTGATGGAACACTGTCAGTAATGAAACCACTAAACTCATTATCTTCACTCAGAACTAGGAAGGAGAAAAACCTTTCATTTGAAATCCCCAGATAATTTCTGCCGAATGACATGTAAACTAGGATTTATACTGTACCTGATATTTAATTTGGTGCTTCAACAGTGCCTGCATTTTTGTCCCCACCAATGCTCATCCCAGCAGCTGCTCCCTGGCCCTTCTCTCATATGAAGTCTAATTTCTTTTTTCAAAGCCTCCATTTGTGCATGTACCACAAGTAAACCCTCTGGAAACACGTGAAATATTTCTCATAAATATTGTTAGTCAGCTAGTATTCTTCTCATTTTGGGGGCTTGACAACACTTCTGTGATTCCTTCAACCCTCTGGTTTATCACCTTTCTAGGGCATACCCAGGACAAAGTTTTAGCTCCTGATTTTCAGATCTTCTAGCTCAGAAGGATTCTTTTGCTCAATGTCTGTCTTCTACAATAAACTTTCTATTGAAAACAGATGTTAAATATTGTTCATATTCAAGATCTCTAATTCAACACCCTTTCTGCATCTGTGGAAAAACGTTGGGAAGTTAATTGTGTCCTTTTGTGACATCAAAAGGCATTTCTGTCTGGACAAAGCTTCAGAATAACATCTAAGCAAAGATGGCATCAGGCTAACCAAGAGGCTTAGTACTCTAGCAGATAGTACTCAGAACTTTATTCAAAACTTATTAAGATGTCACCTCCAGATCAAAATACCAAACACAGACACAGCTCCATTCTAATTTTATCATTGCATTTGGAGAGAAGGCTTTACATTAATGTAAAGTGTTAAAATGTACTTATATAAGTGACCAATAGTTTTGTTGAGAGTGTTATATTTATGCTTATAGCCACTTCTGAAACAATTTCATGCAAACCAATGAATCTTCATTGTAATACTTCTCATTATACTGCAATGAGGTTCTTTCCTTCTGAGATGCTGCATGCTTCTACCCAACAGTCATATGCAGATGCAAAAATAGTTACCTAAACCAAAAAACTTGAAGTTGTTCTCACTGGTAATACTTCATGGGTGCCACTTTAAAGGGAACAAAGTGATGTTTTAAAATGACGATTGCTTACCCCTCATTTTTATTACAGAAAGAGCCTCAGAGGCAGAGCCTCAACGGGTGAACCTTCTCTTTCTCTGCTTGTCTTTTCTTTCTCTGAGCAGGACTGCATAAAGGATTGGATTGATTCTTTCAAGTGGGATCGAATCCAGTTCCCACTTACAGTTGTGTCATCCACACAATCCAAACTCTTCTATTTTCCAACTCTTACCATGCTTTTTTATTTCTCACAGGCTGGGCTATTACTAGGGAGGAAGTCCAGATAGGTTCTTCATATTATTTTCTGTCCCTACAGTAACTTAACCAAGCTGGTGATTTCTTTGTCTGCTGCCCCGCTCCTGGATCACACTACTCTAAAACCCTTTCCCACTGATTTAAAGAGAGGTTGCATGCATCAGGAGTGACTTCCCTTCTCTATTAAAGAGAGGTTGCATGCATCAGGAGTGACTTCCCTTCTCTACTTTGCCTCCATATAAGTCAGAAGTAGTTTCCATCAAATTACTGTAATTTCCTAGCTGTGTTATTTCTTTTTGTCCATATTAAAAAAAAAAAATCTTTTAGACTCTCCCCTCCCCTTCTCTCCCCCCACCCAATATATAAAAATTTCACAGTATCAGCCCCATATACAGCCTCTGAAAGTTTTACATCATAGAGAATCTGTTTCCTACCCCTCTTTAATGCCCATTCAGAAAGGATGTGTTTACATTAACGTTTAGGTATTTAGGGCACTTTTGAAGTGAATGCCCTGCCCCAGTTTTCAGTCTCTTGTTCACTGCAGAGAGATCTCAGAGGACAAGCACTGGCCACCTTTAGGGTGAAGCTGATCAACCATATGTGCTTTAGGTGTGTGTATCAGAGCCATCAGGTCCCAGGACCAAACTAAAACTAGCCTGACATGAAGTCTGCAACACACAGCAGGGTCCCCACTGTTAAGGGGTGTCCTCCGAACTGTTGTTTTCATTCTACAGGTTGCACCTGTACTTGTTGTGAAGACATAGCCAAAGATGATAACTTCCAGACTGAATGCAGAGGATAAAAAAAGGTTTTGTTTTATTCTACAAGGGTTAAGAAGCAGTAAGACACCCTCTAATTTTAAAGGTCATGCTACTATGCTCAGCTATTGCCCAGAGAAGGCTGATGCTGAGAGAGGTAACAGAGTAGCACCAACATTTTTCTATTCCAACATCATCTTATTCTGTTTTAAAAACCAGGCCCCTCTGAACTCAGGGACTTAATGCAGTTAACCCTTTCTTTGTATCTCATATTAGGTATGATCTGTGTGACATCTAAACTATTTGATTGGGACTTAATATCACCCAGAAATGACTTCTCTCATTATTGTAAAAGTCTGGAAATAAATTTCATCTCACCATGCTTTTACAAATCCATGCCCATTCCACAGTGGTGACAAAAAATGCCACCCATTTTTTCCTATTTCTCTTATAAAAATGAAAGACATTTAAACTATTCTGCCGGACTTACCTGATACAGATATAGAGCTTTGGATTAAGAATTTTATTGTTGTTTCCAGGCCCTGGTGCAATCATATTTTCCTGCTCTTGTGCGTATGTTTCTTGACTTCCAAAGAAACCTATTAACAGAGGTCTACACCGGCCACTGTACCTTTATCATAGCTATGATACCTGTCTTTGATCATTCTTTCTTGGTGTTATTTTCTCCTCTTCAAATTGTTCATTTTTATCATGAATTGTATTATGTTCCCCCGTTAGGGAACAAAATGTATTTTGAGTCAATTTATTAAAATAGTCGCTGCTAAGTGTTATATCTGGACAAAGTTGACACCTTTGACATTTTCTAAAATGGCAAAAATAACTGTATTTAAGGTATGATTTATGAGTATTGTATGTCAGGAATTTCTATGCTATTACAGTTTCTGATGCAGTAGTCTCAACTTTTTCAATGAACAAATTGCTGATTAACCAGCTAGTTAATGCTTTATTAGTTTTCTGTGGTCAATTATAAAAAGTTATAAAAAAGTAAAATGCAATTTAATAATAAAGAACTGTGTGATTCTTGTTTCTCTCTCAGAACTGCTTTCTTTTGTGTATGTGGAAGAAACAATTTCTACAAGGCTCAGTTTTATGACACATTTCCCCCTCCCAACTAAGAGCAATCCTATGATTAAAAAGTAGACTGGAGTCTTTAAATGTCCTTCTGATTGCTGGCCTCTATTAAAAACTTCTTAAAATAATAGATAGGTTTAATTCCTCAAGCCAAAGAAAAATTATATCATCTTAAGCATTTTCCATATTTATTATATTGATGAGACTTGGCTACAGAGAAAAAAAAAAAAGAAGCAAAATCTCTTGTATTGCAAGTTTTAAATGTACCAGGCTAAGGTTTACTTAATTAGAACCTCCAGGCAATAAAGGAGCCCTTTTTTAAATTCTGTGAATCTTAATATGCTAAATAATGCAAAGCTTCAACTCTTCAAGCATGAGACACACATCTGGCAGCTTAATATTTAAATTACAGAAAAAAACCCACTTCAGTAGTAATTTTCATGAAGAAAAGAATGGGAAATGTATTACAACTAAATTTAATTTCTTTTTAGATTTTTCATCCTAATTGCAAGCATTTCCCATCTTCTCTTTTATTTATTTATTTTCATAAAGATTTTTTCTGTACTTTTTATTGATCTTTAATTTGAGCAGCTTCTTACTGTTACAGGCATTGAAGAATTACATCGTGTTTTTACTTAGCAAAAATTGTTCAGAAAAATCTATGAGGAATTAAAATAATGAGCTCACTGGTATAGAAAGAAAAGAGCATTGAGAGCCTTACAAATAAAATATAAAAAGAGCATGTCATGATTAAATAACAGACTTGCGTTTCTTCTCCCACCCATTTCTTAAATGTAGAATATTATTGTTTTCTTTATTCTTTTTAGTGTCCCATTTTTTTGGCCAAGATAATTACTGCTTTATTCATTTGACTCCAAAAACATTGTTAAAGTATTCATTATTTCATCAGGGCTGTTTGGAAACCCAGTTCTGTGTGCCAAAGGAAAAAAAAATATTGAACAAAGGAAACCACAGTAACCATCTTTACAAAGGTATATTTATATTTTAATATGTGTTTATGGGTTCATACATGGATCACACATATGGAATATGTAGAGACAATTTGAACTGATTATACGGCATGTGTGCATACATGTGACATTTCCAGCAGCTGTATTTTATGCTGTTTCAGTGATTTCAGTAGACCTCCTCTTTCACCCCAGATGGTGCAAATACCTGCAAATGCCTCGTTTACTACGAATGTTCAACATATACAACATACACCTACACGTATGTGTACATATATGTAGAAACTAAGAAAGATATCCAACTGTGACATTGTATATGTGTTTATTGTATATGCCTATACCAACAATTGTAACACCTAAGAGCTGATCCTGCCTGTACTGTGATTTTAGATACACTTGATTGTCTTTTACTGAGTGGGATTGGAAATCACTTAAAAAAAAAAAAGGAAATAATAACTAAGTATATTTTTGGATTAGCCTCCATATGCAATACATTAAAAAGTGTCTAATACAGACCTTTATTTCTGCCACACCACTATTTCCTGAAATGTGGAATTACATTTTTGTTCATTCCACAGGTCACTGCTTTTCAGGAGCTTAATGAACACACGACTTGTGTTTTCTAAGCAATGTTTATTCGAATGCTTTTTATGCCTCTGTCTTGTTCTTGATCCACAACCATGTCCATACAAGAAAATTAACTTCTTTCTCTCTTCTGAAGAACACTTTCTGGGGTGTTTAAAATACCCTTCCATGTCATTCTTCTTGTGTCTATTATTTCTTTATTTCTATTTTCCCCCTGTTTTGTATCTATACAATTTTTATTTCCAGGAACACAGTATCTGAAGTCTTCTCTGTATTTATCATACTAACATTTCTGGAAGGTAGTAGAGAAATAACCACCTATTTATAACTAGGATGGAGAAAGAAAAATGATCTGCATGAAGTCAGACAGAATCTTGTTGGGAGGAGGACCAAAACCCAGCTCCTTCCTTTTCAGAGCTTTATCTTATGCACCAATACAAAAAATAATTTATGTTTTGTGGTTTGTTTTTTTTTCTTTTCTTGCAGAGGATTACCAAGATTGCCATGGCAGTGCAGATGAGAACTGTGACTTGTTTTGGCCAAAGGAAGTCCAAGGAGGACATCACAAGGTACAGATCTTGATATGGACATCATTGTCTCCCTTAATGTGTGCAGAGAAGCCATTGGATCTTCTACCTGTGCCATTTGAGAATGATTTGTGGGCTTGCTTGTTGTTTTTGTAGTTGTGTTTCTTTAATCTACCCCTGTGAATTTTTTTATGGCCACAAAAAGGCTTCACATGGCCAGGTGTATTGCTGTCTCCTGCATGTATCTATAGGGAGCTAATCTCTCCAGCAAAGAAACTTCAAAGGAGTAGTAGGGAAAGACCATCCTAATGGTAATCAAATATCAGCAGCTTAATCAAGTCTGTGCTGCAGGATGGTATTATTTCAGTAATGTTTAAACAAGAAATGCATCTATAACCTTCAAGTTCTCATGTACTTGTGCAGAAGATCCCTACCATTAGATACTTTTAGTATAATATTTGTAGTATCTTGGTCAAGGACATAATTAATTTGTGAACAAATATTGTGTCATCAGTACAAGTTTCCATAAAATCATATCTGCATCATGACAACACTTTCTGGGTGCAATGCTACTGAAACTTTCAGATTTACTGTAAATCCTGATGACTAAGACACAAAGAAAACTCTGTATTCCTGAGAATTGCTTCTACCTGCATTATATTATTAAATTAGGTATTTTCCAATGAAGGTTGCAATTTTTCTCTGTAAGTGTTGCTCCACTTCCGTCCTTAAATCAGCATGGTTGCAGAGAACTATAACTGCAAACCTGAATATTCAAATTAATCATTCTGGTAATTTGTCTTACCCTGCTCTAGATATACTCTGAAACATTTTTAATGCTTTTAATTGTGCATGGAAGAAAATCATCACAGTACTCGGAGTACTCACAAACTTGTGTACTATGTGTTTATACCTGTACATGTGCTGTGGCACAAACACTCAGTGGCTGGGAATTATTATTGCAACTTTTGTAATGTGATGATCTACTTCTCTGAGTAAAAATAGATTGGCCAACTGGAAGTTCCCTCCATTTTAAATGGATAAATTATTAAGTGATTTATTTTTTCAGGAAGTTAAGGATAACTTGGAGAAAACAGAGTTATATATAAACATAACTGCAGACGGATGTGTGCATGCACATGTGTGTGTGGCCTTATATCTATAGGAAGGATGATTTGAGGACTTTTGGAATCGATGTAGTGGGCAAAGTAACCCAACCCATGGGAGTGGCAGAGTGAAATTAATTTCCTACAATTGCATAAAAAACATGATATCTTTGAACAAAGTGCCACGTTCTCATAGGAACTTCAGTTTTGGGTGGCTCTCGAAGCCAAATTAAAGTGATCTGGTTTCACTGAGGTGTGTAAACCCACGGGGAATTCAGCACTGTCTAGTCCCTCTGGACTCAGTGAAATGACTGACTAGCTTACAGTTATTGACATGTTTGTATAGATTTCTGAACTGAGCCTCTTACGAGAATGCTTCTGCACAAAAGAAATGTGAGTATGTGAAATATCCTTTCAAAGGTTGTAAGAACCCCTCCTTTTTCATGGCATGAATGAACCCTAATGTTTGGAGAGAGCCTGTTTAGCATGTTCAAGATCTAGGCATTTGGCCTGATTTATATCATTTGGACCTACTTGTATCTCTGGATACCATCCTGTAAAATATTTTTATGTAACAGTCATATTTAGGAAACGATGAAAAACTAATGTAAAGAGCAGACTTAAGGAATAAGACAGAAATTTCTGTAGTGTTTTATTCTCCTTAGCAGTCCCTTTTCCTCTTGTAAACATATTTTTAAAATTTATTTTTTTAATAACAAAAACAAACAAAAAGATCTTTAAGTCTGACCTCAACTTTTTACCCCCAAATTCATCTATGCTAAGAAGTTGCAAATAGTCTCTCACGGGCATTAGCACTTAGTTTTTGTTGTAATGAGTGTACACACTATTGAATGGATTCAAGATATTGAATGCTAGCAATAAAGGAGAGGATGCTCACAGTCAGTGACTTCTGAGAGAAACAAAATATATTCTCTGATTATAATCCCATCCTCATGCAGATGACTGAATTTCTGGTTTTGTACATTAGTCAAGATCAAACACAGTCAGAGAAATTAGCTCTTAATACTCTTTAACACCTTTAGGATTTATGTCTTAAATAATGTCTTTATATCTACTTTGCACAGGGATAGTTTCATGGAGGCAATGTCAGCAAGCAAGGTAGCCTGCACACACTACCTGCTCTGAAACCTTGACTTCTTCTAGGAAATTAAGTTGGGCAGTTTTGTGTCTGGGTAAAATCTGTGTCTGCCTGGTCTTAGTATTTGAAAACAGGTTTAAGCACTTCTACTCTACCTTAACTATTCATGTTTACGTAGAACCTCTTTCTGACAATATATTCCATTGCTTGTGGCAGCTTTTCCAATGACCACTGAGAATAAGTTGATTATATCATATTTACAGATAAGAGTATGTAGGTATGTGCATTTTGTAGGTATGAATATGAACTTCTGTCTCTTATGTCTGTGAAATTCAAAATGTGGATGAGGTCAATGTAATCCAAGCTTCAGAATACAAATTTACCTTTGAGAGCAAAATGGTTTACAGAGTTTAAAAAGAAAAAAAACTTTGTTGTTTTCATGATTAGCAAAGTGTAAAGTGTGTGACTACATCTTATGTCAGTGCTTTGCTCCCTGGGAACTCTGAGTTTTTTTGGGATCTACAGAGTAAACTTCGTGTTACTACAGAGTAAACTTCATAAATATGAAAGTCAAATAGGAACTTAAATCATCTAGGTTATCTTCTAGTACTGACTAGAGAATTTCAACCACTTGCTCTGTAAAGTTGGCATCAAGGGATGTAGAATCAAAATTTGTCTTTGGGGTTACCTCTAAATAGTATACTTTCCATCTCCCTGTCTAACAGGAAGACCAAAAAGGGAGTTCTGTTACTAGTTTGAACATAACATATTTTAATTTCCAGCCCTTTGTTTTCTCTGGGCTGGTTCACTAAATGTTAGCAAACCCTTTACAGAGCTTAGTATTGTGCCTGGGAAGGTATTAGCAGATAGTATCATTGAAATCTCCTGCAGATGTCTGTCTGATAAGTTAGGACCTCTTTGTGTCTCTTGGTGGAAATGATGTTTGTCTCTCTGTCCAGGGGTGATAACACCAAGCGTCCAGGGCATCTGATGGTCACTTCAGAGAAGCAATGCCAGCAATCAGACCCTGTGCATGCAAAAATATTGTTCCAGAGATAAGCAGAGATCAGGATTCTCTCCTTTGTAGCTCAACGAGTAGTTTAAATGAGAATAAACTGGTATGAGCACTGAAAGATATAGTACTGTCCCTCTCCTGCTTTGTGCAGGCACCAGTGCAGGGTGGCCTGGATCAGAATGGGTCCAGCTGAGAGCTAACCCAGTTAAATAAAAGAAAAAGAATGAAGCCAAACAACATTAATTCCATTCCCAGATTAGTTCCCTCTGTGTGGCTTACTCTGGGGATATCTAAATTTTTGTGCTGACAGTGTGTGGTATGCAACACAGGAAAAAGCAGGCAGGTAGAGGGAGACTGGATGACTGCTGGTGTCAGCATGAGCTTACACCTCCTTGAGAGGGTTTGTCAAACCACAGCCTTATAGGAAAATAAATCCATTCAGGAAACAATACTCTGTGTGCAGCTCTGGGTCCTACCAGTTAAGAAGGTTGTGAAGGTCCTTGAAGGTGTCCTGAGGATAGCAACAAAGCTGGTGACAGGGCTGGAAGGCCTGTCCTGGGAGGAACGGCTGTGCTAATTGCCTTACTATTCTAACTTGTTTTTTCTTTTCATTTAAAGATCAACTGGAATAATCCACCTGACCAACATCATGAAGAAAGATCAGGTCCTGAGAACAATGGAAGCCAAGAAGAAGAGAAAACATCTGTAGGGAGCAATTTTTACTTGGAAGAGTTAGAGAAGTATACTTTTTCTGTGTGGTAAGTGATCTCAGCTCCATATTGTGCTTTGAATATTCAAAACCCAGCCCTCAAAACAACCCTGGCACCTATGGTCTTATGCAAATCAGCCCCTAGGATTTCAAATACAGCAGCCAGTAAACTAACATCACAAAAGAGTGGATGTCTGTGAAAATTTAGTTTTAAATTACTTCCCTATCAAAACATGAGGCAGGTTTATCTCATGGGCAAGCCAAGCAGCCTTCAATATCACTTGTCCTGTTGTTCCCTGCTCTCATTTGCCACACTCATTTGGTGCCTTAAAAGTTGGCAGAAAGTTTGGTGAAGACCTTACAGACACAAAGTGCATTTTCACTATAGAAATCTGAACTCAACCCTAGAGGTGGTTAGCCCTGAGTATTGGAGGTGACAGCAATCAGCTGGAAAAATAACATGCACTCATACAATTGGGCTGTCATAATTCTGCTAAATTGATTATGGTTATTTTTGACAACTGAGGACTCCCCCATCCTTGCCATAATAGAAGAATAGATTTTAGGGTAGCATTGCTCATCCAAATATCCTTACCAGCTCCCAGTGCTTCATTTTACCTACCTTAATTTTCAAATTAAATTAACCAAATTATCATCAATTATCTATCCCAAGGTGCTCGCTTTCAGTACCAGGGAACTTCACTTTCTCTCTTTCTAACATTTAATTGTAACATTTAATTGTATATGCCCTATTCCTGGAAGTGTTCAAGGCCAGGTTGGACGGGGCCGTGGACAACCTGGTCTGGTGGAAGGTGTCCTTGCTCATGACCGAGGGTTTGGAAGTAGATGGCTTTTAAAATCCCTCCTAACCCCAACCATACTGTGATTCTGTGGACATTTGAAGTTAGCAGCATTGATACTTTATTCTTTTCAAAGTTGTTCAGCTTGAAAGTGTTGAAAAAGGGCCCCAAGTCTCTACTTCCTTCAGCACTGGAGCACTCCTGGAGCACGTGCTGGTTTCTAGTAGCTGTCCCTAGAGCAGCCTGGCCCCAGGCTTTGAAGTCCGTGTCCTTTGTGACTGCACAAGGTATCCAGAGGAGCAGAGGGAACAGATATTTGTCCAAGTTGGTGTGCACCTCACCGGCTGATGTGGGGACTAATCAAAAATGGCTGTCCTTTCTTCCATTTTCTTTTCTATTTCTTTTCTTTGTCCTTTGTTAGGAAGCCCATCTCTCCTTGGACCCCTGTGCCTGCAGGGACACTGACTTTGCTCGGGTTCCCTGAGGATGCATAGGTATGTCTGAGCACAGTAAGTTACAGGGCACGAACCTTATCTTCCTGCTACAAAACAAAGGCTACAAGCAATGCATCAGGGTGACTGGGCTGCCTCTCCTACCTTAGGCTAGTATTTTGTTATTTCACTGTGCCATTATATTTACTATATCCATCATCCTGTTTGAAATAAGGACAGGTTCTTGCTTTATTTACTTATGTATTATGTTAAAGTCCCATAAGTTTAGAACAAAGCAGAACTTAGAGGGAATTTCTTCACTTTCTGCTTCACTTGTGGTCATCATCTTTATCAGAAAGAAAAAAAATAGCAAAAAAATTACTCCTCTCTTGGTCAAATAATATAGATATTACATATAGTATGTGTCCCTAAAATATATTTTTCAAACTTAGAGTTAATTCAGTTTCCCTGAGTGATTTAAGCAGAATCTGATACCTTATGAGTTGTTAGTTCCATTTGTTACTGTACCAGCATGATGTTTCAATTGTTACTTACTGCTGTCTGTCTCCTCCTTTCCTTCTCTCCTACTTTCTCCATCAAAGGGCATCAACTCCTCTTTGTCTGTTTCCAGACCTTCCTTTCTTCTATGATTGCTACCTTTTAAAAAATGCAATGGAAGATAATTAGCTACTACAAAAATTTTTAATAGCACTGTAGATCTGGGGGCAGCTTAGATCTCCATAAACTTCAGAGTTTTAGATGCTCCAAGATGCAATCTGAGCAATTTCCTTGATCTTTTATTGCAGCTGGTAAATCATTTATTGGGCTAGGTTATTTTACAAAATCCTCTTTAAAAACAAAATCCCATAAAATGTATTTATCATAAAATACTGCACAACCAACAGTCTTTAAAGTTGTACATACTCTGTATTAATTAAAAGCTAGTGTTGTACTGTGACAATTTAAAAGTATCCACTCTATCTCAGTCTCTCTCTTTCCCCCCATTCTCTCCCTGCCTCTCCCTGTAATTTTTTTCTCTCTTTCCTTTCTCTAATATACTCTTTTCTTGAAGGGCTTGCCAAAGGGGAGATTGGCAAGTACGAGCAAGATATTCTTTTGTGATCACAAATATTTTTCTGATAATTGTTGTGCTTTTTTGTTTCTGTTGCTACAGCATGCTTGTCCTTTTTCATTCACATTAATTTGACAGTGGTGTCTCACATCCGTAGGCCATAGTCAAACCTCCTTACAGCGGGCGTTATACACATATGTAATAAAAAGAGCTTTTTGGCTGCAGAAGCCCACAGCCTTCAGGTTGCGTCTCGCAGCCTACATGAGTGACTTTCCCACTGTGCCCCCATACAACCTTATTAAAAGCATCAGGCTTTTGCTTAGGTCTGGTGAGCTGGAGATGAGGGGGTTGAGTCCAAAAGACTCGGGGAGATCCATGCTGTTTAGGTGGTCAGGGGCAGTCACAGCCTGGTAGATGCTAAATGGTCACTGAGTGCTTTGCAGACCTTCCTGGAGAGCTGGCTTCAGGACCTTGCCTCGCAACCCAGCATCGCTGAACCTCTCTTCTCTGATTTTTGTGTTCCTGGAACTAACAGCTTGTGTAATCTGCAGCAGAATATGAATGTTTTTAGTGGCTATTGTCTAAATAAGACAGGTGAGATCTGTAACCTTGAGAGAGAAGGAGGAATATTTGAAGGAATTTTGACCCTTGCAGCTCAAAACCTACTGTCAGAAGCTCTCTAGTTCTGTTCTTCTGTTCCCTGAAACAAGCAAAATTTGAGGAAAAAATGTTCTTCAAGGCTATTTGTCACTATAAAGCCAGATTTCCTGAAGATGCATAAAAATACAGATCTGAGAAATAATTTCGACACTTCAGCACTTTAACAGTGCTTTTTATGCATAGTTTTAGAGGAGAGGGGAAAAAACTCAAAAAACTCCCAGATTTCAAAAACCTTTCTCTATCTTAATACAAAAAAACATAAAGACATAAACACTTTCTGTGACTTCAGGAATCTTCAGGCTTGAGTTTATATATAAATAATGAACTAGCAGGTTCAGTTGTCAAATACTTATCATCAAACACAGCTCTTAAGGGTTAATATTTCACACTATTATAAAAGTCACGATCATCCTTTGTCTCTGTGCAATTAGCTTTTTAACAACGTGCCTGTAGCTCATACCTAGGCTAAATGCTGCTTTGAAATATTTTCTCCTGAACTCCAAATGTGTTAAGCTGACTCTGGCCAGCTTCTATAAAACTAGTTTATGGTAGGGCACTGCCTCTTTTGAGGGAATACCCATTGCCCCATGCTGCATTGCTGTGTGTTGCCTATAGTAGCTCAGTTGCAGAGGTAGCAAGCAGAGGGTGAAAACGAAATAGGCTCTTGTCAGCATATGGCAGCCTGGGTAGGGTGGACAAAGCTGAAGACCTCTTTACAACCCTGCCTCTACACCTGTAGACTCTATGATGTTTACCTGCTGATTTTTTTTTTTTTCCTCAAATTGAGGAGGACACTGAGGGGCACGAAGCGTTAAATGTAAAGTGCACAATATAGTAAAATTGTTTTCTATATAGAGACAATAAACTTTCCCTTTATAATACACATGTGATTTGACACTGAAATAAATGCAGATGCTTCTTTGCTTGGTGTATTCCCTGTTGTGCTTTCTAAAACACCTTCACATATGGTTTGCCTCATTCCTGTGAAACGGCTTGTTGTTTATGTCATACAAATAGAACAGATTGAATTTACACCGAGTTAGGAGGGTGATGGATCCTACGTTAGAGGAAAAACCTTGTCTGAGTGTTTAAAATTTGTTCAAAATTAGTGTTGCCTATTTGAAAAATTTCCCTGGATTATCCCTTGAGCTCTTCTAAAGATTTCATTAAAATAATAAAAAAAAAATCTGTGGCTACCTATAAATGCAACCTTTTATTCAAATATGTAACATTTACCCAAAATCAAAGGTCAAATTTTACCAGTTTTTTACAGCTGTCCTAGCAGGAACTGTTTCATTCACTATATATAAAATACTGCCATTAAGAGCAGACATTCAATTTCTTTGTGAAAAGGAGAATAACCCTTTATTACTTGCTTTAAAAAGTGCTAATAATTTAAAAATTTCTTGGTAACTTCTGATAGTCCACCTAAACCATTTCGTTGTTTCTAATTCCATTTAGAAGCAAAATTAGAGGTAGGTCAAGCTTTAACTCTTAGGAGAAATCAGGAGTCCCACTGTTTTCTTTGAATACTTTTAAATCATTAACACAGCATCCCTAAAACATACGTCCCTACATACAACCCTAAGCTTTGGTTGTATGAGCACAGAGTACTACTAGGATTAATCCTGATTCTGGAATCTTTGTGGGTACTTTTTGTTTTTTGCAGGCAAGCCTCAGCAGGACACAAGTAATTATTTTTTTTTTAAACTTATTCAGGTGTCAGATGGTGTTTACATTGTACATGTCCACACATCTTTGAAGACTGAATTTTTACAGCAGATCAGCACATATTTCTGTGCAGTTTTTGCTTTAGTCTTAGTTTCATGGAAGATTTTTCCATTGTAGTAAAAGTTTACTTTTTGGAAAATTATTCTATAGACAAATCATTAAATATGGCTATGGCATCATTCCTACTTCCTCTGATTTTTCTGAAACTGTCTGTTTCTTCTTTTGTTGTATAGTATAATTCATAAATGAAAAAATTTCAATGAACTGCATAGATTTAGAGATTGTATTTCTTTGCTGTCTCGTGTAATGGAAGAATTATTTCCCTGTTCTGGTGCATTGTAGTAAAGTTTTGCTA